TGTCAGGATTTCATCACGGCAGCAGGAGACTTGCCATACACAATGTAGGAGAGGAAGCAGTTTTGACTCACAGACTCAAAGGTATCAGCCCATGGTAGGCCAACAACAAGACAAACATCACAAAGGTCATGTCAGAGGATAATTGTTTATCTCATGGCACCCAGTAAGCAGAGACAGGAAGAGAGCAGGTTAGCTATATTCTCTAAAGGCATGTCTCTAGGCACCTACTTCAACAAGGCCTTCTCCAGCAAGGCCCCACCTACTGAGAATAGGAAGGTTATGAATATAATAAAATGCAGTCTGGATGGTGAGGACACATTCCATCACTCCAGGCCCAGCACTCAGAGAAGCACAGGCAGGTGGATCTGTGAGCTCAAGACCAGCCTGGTCTACACAGCGAGCTCTGTGTAGACCAGCCACACAGAAACCTTGTCTCAGGGGAAGAAAAAAAAAGTTATTTGGCTTATAGTTCTGGAAACTAAAAAATTCAAAAGTACGGTTGCTTGCCTTAATCCCAGCACTTGGGAGGCAGAGGCAGGTGGATCTCTAAGTTTGAGGCTAGCCTGGTCTACAAAGCAAGTCAGAACTACACAGAGCCGGGAGGTGGTGGTGCACGCCTTTAATCCCAGCACTTGGGAGGCAAAGGCAGGCTGATTTCTGAGTTCGAGGCTAGCCATAGTCTACAGAGTGAGTTCCAGGACAGCCAGGGCTACACAGAGAAACCCTGTCTTGAAAAACCAAAAAAAAAGAAAGAAAGAACTACACAGAGCCTGGATTTAAAAAAAAAAGATAGAGCAAGGGGTCTCTTCCTTCCTTCCTTCTATCCTTCCATCCTTCTATCCTTCCATCCTTTCTTTTTTCTTGGTAATAAAATCAGCTGGTGTCACAATGCAGTCCTGTCTTAGAATTCTTGCACTCTTGGCGCTTTCCCTTGTCCCTCATTGATTTTCATGACTATTTACATTACTAAAGAAAAACTCACCCAGTGGCCTTGTTAAAAACAGTAAGGCAGATTTAATTCAGGGGCATCCCAGCAGGCCCAGGAACTGAGCAGATAGTTCTGCAGTGGGAGGGAGACTGGCTCCGCTCAACCCAGCGGGAGGATGGAAACCGGGCGAATGGAAACCTAGAGCCCAGGAGCTGGAACTGGATGGAAATCCAGGCTGGATTTTGTTTTTGTTTGTGGGAGGACTTTGGAAAAGCCTGAAGATGGCAGAAGTTTTCAATTGCTTTAGGCGGAGGTGGATGGATGATTTCAGAGGGAGCCTGGGAGGCCAGAAGTGTGAGAGAAATGTGGAGAGTAAACACTGCATGCCTACAAGGTTTCCAACAGGAATGAAGATCCCATTGAGAATCGGACTAGAACGTCTAGCAAAGGACTTGCCTACAAATCTGAATGGAAAAATCAATAGGAGATAGCATGGAAGGGGAGCATGTGACATGATGTGACAGGGTTCGTGTTGAGGGCAGGCCAGGGTCACCAGACACCTCCTGGGAATGATGCATTTAATTAGCTGTCATAGGTGTTCAGGCCTCTGAAGCCAGTGGTCTGGCCAGATCTACATGGCTGAGGTCTCCTGTTAAAGGCAGGACTACCAGGACAGCGGCAGTTGTGAGGGAGCCCTGCTTGAGAAGGGGGTCAGAGGAGCCTGAGTTAGGGGGAGTGGCCAATAGCAGCATTGGCCCACAGCCTCTCACTCCAGTTCCAGTCAGCCTAGGGAAGCTCCTCCAAGTTTGAAGTGTCCCCCTTACATGTTTGAGCACAGTTCTAGGCCCCTCTTCTTTTTCTGCTAAGCACCCACTGCTGTGTCCCTTTGAGTGGATGGAGCAAGTATGTGTGGGTATACATCACCCACGATATATCTCCGTCTGTATTTCTCTGCAGTAAAACCGTGCATTCCTGCTAACACTCGCGTTTCCCCATCACCACAGAGTGCCTTGAACACCCCTATTCTCTGTCACTGGGAAGCCTGGCTCTAGTGGGTAGCTCTTGTATTTTCCTTCCCCGATGGAATCTCTTGGTCTTAAAAAAAGCAAAAACAAAGCAAAAAAACCCTCCAGCATATTCAGTCCTTCCCTACGTTAGCCCAAAGTAGGCCCTTCAGTCTGTCCGACACTTGTCTGCTCCAGCGTGCTCACTGTAGACGCTTCTGCGGGGCCTGTCAGGCATGCTTTGTGAGCAAGGGTTACAGGAAGTGACCATTCTATTCTTGGAAGGGTTAAGAGCTATTGCAGAGCTGAACTCTGTGTGTGGGTTGTGAGAGTCAGGCAGTTGGCTTAGGATGCCTGTCCCTTCCGCTCTCAACGGAGCGTCCCCTCTGTCCTCCAGCAGTGGGAGTGTACGTAGTACGTGTGAGTGTGTGCACGGGTTCAGACTGGAGACAGGTCACTCAGCTCTCCAGGATGATGTGATAAAAGTCAGATGTTGTCTCAACAAAAAGAGCTGTGGGATCATGAGTCTGAGAACATGTGTAGGCGCTAAATACTAGCCCAGTGTACCCACTGAGGGGAGTGTGACACAGAGGTACACACTCTTAGCATGGTTGGGCAGAGGTAATGTGTCACAGAGTACAGCTACAGTGCTCTGCCACTACAGTGGGCAAGAAGGCACAGAGACTAAATCTCTGGGTTGTTACACTGGCTTCCCATGGGTGTCCGTTGGCCATCATCTTTTAGCCAGATTTTTGCCCAGGAAGCCTCCTCAGTGAGGCTTGAAGATGTTGGTGGGAAACTATATCCCGCAGTGGCACCTTTGCCATGTGTCGCATGGGAAGTGTCCAGCGAGAACTGTCTGGAAGCAGTACAGGACCAGCCATTTTTGTGACACCGTCACTTCTAGACTGACCTGATTTTGATGGAGAACTGTCAGTATACTGTTGGATTCCAGGTCTGACTACCCTGGATGATCCAGTGCCATTCACAGCAGGGTCCCTTCTACCCAACACGGCCAAAGGGGGGTTATCTACTCCAGGGAGTCCAGGGGCTCTTTAGCTAGTTTTAGAAAGCAAGTTGTTTAAAATACTTTATAAGAGGTTGGGTATGGTGGCTGGAAGGATGGCTCAGTGGTTAAGAGCACTGACTGCTCTTTCAGAGTTCTTGAGTTCAATTCCCAGCAACCACATGGTGGCTCACAACCATCTGTAATGGGATCTGATGCTCTCTTCTGGTTCGTCTGAAGACAGCTTCAGTGTACTCATTTACCTAAAAAAAAAAAAAAAAAAAAAAGTTGGGTATGGTGGCACACACCTTTAATCCCAGCACTCAGGAGGCAAAGTCAGGCAGATCTCTGTGAGTTCCAGGAGGTGTGGATGATGTAACTCATTGCTAGCCATGCACACGGAATGGGGGAGAGGGTGAGCAGAGCGTCTAGGGAGGGGTACGACCTGTGGCGGGAGAGAATAGAGACAAGGTGGTAGGCTTGAGGGTGTGAACTTTTAGAGACAGGGAAGGAAGGTAGGGGTGGGCTGATGGCTGGGGATGGACTTGGGCAGAGGCAATAGTCACATGACCAGATTTGCATTTTAGAAGCCTGGAGAATGGTTTAGAACAAGGGCAGACTTAGACTCTGGCAGACAGGTGGAAGCTGCAGACTTAGACGTCTGAGGGACTGTGCTGTGCTGAGTCTGAGGGGGCAAGTCTGAAGGACTGTGCTGTGCTGAGTCTGAGGGGGCAAGTCTGAGGGACTGTGCTGTGCTGAGTCTGAGGGTGGAAGTCTGAGGAACTGTGCTGTGCTGAGTCTGAGGGGGCAAGTCTGAAGGACTGTGCTGTGCTGAGTCTGAGGGGGCAAGTCTGAGGGACTGTGCTGTGCTGAGTCTGAGGGACTGTGCTGTGCTGAGTCTGAGGGGGGAAGTCTGAGGGACTGTGCTGTGCTGGGTCTGAGGGGGGAAGGGCAGGTGGAGGCAGAACTGAAGAGAAGCCAGGATGTAGAAGATAGCTAGACTGGAACAACAGCCAAGGGCAGTAGGAGAAGCTTGGAGCAAGCTGCAGGTGTGTGGGTCTGTGTCTAAGAATGGGGTCCTGGGTGAGGTGGAACACACAGACTTAACAGACATAACAGCATTAAAGATTTAACGTGGAGACCAGGAGTCACGGCACATGACTTTAATCCCAGCACTTGGGAGGCAGAGGCAAGTGAATCTTTGTGAGTTTGAAGCCAGCCTGGGCTACATAGTGAGTTCTAGGACAGCCTGGGCTACATAGTGAGACCTTGTCACCAAAGGCTGTCTGGAGTGCTGCTTCTTTAAAGTGGTTTCTTCCCCATCCTAGTACAGACAGCTCATAGGAACGAGGTTCTATGGTGTAGGGTTTGGGGCCATGATTTTTTTTTTGCCCCTCACAGTCCTTCTGTTCACCAGCTGTTGACTCAGTCCTCCCTTCCTGATCCCGAGGAAGTTCTTAGCATGGTTGGCACTCCCCACCATGGCCCCCTCTTACGTGGAGTGAGCAGTTCTACTCTACTTCTCTTGTCATACTGTGCCCTTACCCTGTGACCTCGGGGTCTTCCCCTCACACACTGTGCTGTGTCTTCCTTTTGTTCTCTTCAGTCTCTTGGCTTCATACTGTGTGTATATGTGCATTTGCTTACTAGGGCCGCTGTGCCAGATGACCACAGGCTGGGTCTACTAAAACAGTACAGTGCTCACCTAGCCTGAGGAGGCTCTGGATTTAATCCCTACCACCCACCACACCCCAAAAATGGATTCTCTTCATGGTTCTAGAAATCCATGGTCAGGGTGTAGACAGTTCTACACCCCCTCTGACGGCTCTAGGGAGTCTTTGCCTCTTCCAGCTTCTGGCAACACAAGCAGGGCTTAGGCTTCCTGGACTTACAGGTATATTACCTCAGTGTGGACTGCCATCTTGCCATCACGAGCCTCTTTGTGTGTCTCAAATCTTCCTCTTCTCGTGTCTGGACAACCAGTTACTCCATCGGAAGTCCAGAGGTATCTCAAGACCCTTGGTGTCATTCCGTCTGTAAGCCCCTGTTTGTGCTTAGGTGCTGGGCGTTAGAGTGGGACGTGTCTTGTGGAGGACTCAGCTCATCCCCATGTATGTTCTCTGTACCTGATGGTGACCGAGTGATTCCCGCCCAGGCTCCTCTGCTCAGTTCCCAGGAAGGTATCTTGAGCCTCGTCCGCAGCCTGAGATGTCCTGCCTTGTTTCCCTCCCAAGCCATGGAGCTGTTCTTAGCTGTTTGCTCATCTCGGGACCCACGGCTCTGGTCTTCCAGGTGCTCAGGTGGGAAGCTTGGACCCCTCCCCGCTCCCTCAGTCCACCTGCAGGTTTCCGGCTCACCTTCTTTGACTCTCGGCCTACAGCTCCCCTCCTTGGTTCCTGTACCCCTCAGCCATTCAGTCTGGTCAGAGCATGAGTCACCCACTGCTCACACCTGCTGGTGGTTTCTGCCCACCAACTTGCTCTCCTCACCATAGTCACAAACTCACCTGGTCAGACACATCCCTACCGTCTTCTCCACTCTGTTCAGCCATCTTGTCTCCTGGCTTCCTTCTGCACAGGGGTGGTAGGTGGCCTGCTACTACTTCACAAGTCAGACCTCTCCTGTATGGTGCCTACCGCCCCATCTTCTTCCTCTGTCCCAGCCTGAACCCTGTACCTCATCACTCCTGACATTGACTTGCCAGGGTTTGTCAGTGACTTGTGTCTGTGCCCAAGCCATCTTCCTCATGGCATCCAGTGAATTCACGTATTAGTCCCTTCCCTTGTGCTAACTCCTGGGCCTGTGAAAAGCTCTGGTGCTGTGCTGGGGACAGCCTCAAAACCATGCTGCTGAGATGTAGCTAGCTCATATCTAGCTGTGTGGCCTTGGCCCCGTTACTCTGAAGTCTCAGATATAAAGTGGGCATTGTGTAAGAACGCCCGGGGGCTAACATGTGCTCAAGAGGTGGTCTAGCTCTTGCTACCACTACATTGCTGGAGGACTAAACACCCTACCCTTCTTTGAGCTGTCTCAGGGTGTGCTGCTCATTCCTGCCTTTGGCTCACCCTGCTTGGGTTGTATGTGCTTCTGTTTGGCACAGTATCGAGTGTCACTGTACTTCCTTTGGTGACCTTTAGTTGCTTCTGCTAGTGCAGAACAAGTGATGTACCTGCCATTGGCCTTGGAGTGACTAGGCAAGCTGTACCTTGCTGCTCTAGGCCAGCTGGGGCTGTCCCTTTGCTGTCACACTGCATCAGCCCCCCCCCCCCCACGTGCTTGTCAGACCCTGGCCATTGATCCAGTCCGAAGCCCTGTTTGAGGGCTTCTATGGTCACTAAGCAAATGGTCATTGCTTACTTGTTTGTGCCACACACAGATCTGTCTGTCAGGTGCCATCTGCGCCTGTGGGCTCATGGTTTTCACTTCACACTAGCCATTTCCTCTCTTTTCCCTCCAGTCTCAGCAGGTTGTCAGGCCTTTCTTAGATGGCCCTTCCCCGGGGAGGCCTGCTCTGCCCACACATCCTGGGAATCCTGCCTTCCTTTCCCTCTCATGCTCCTAGCCTGTGGTGCCTCTGGTGTCTCTCCTACTGTCTCCTGTTCCGCCCTCCACTGCCATATACTCAAGGAAGGCTGGGCCTCTCTAGGCTGACTCCTGTGCTTTTGGTGTCCCAGGGCCCTACCCAATGCCTTTTCTGTGGAAGAATTGACTGGTTCCTTGTTAGGGGATACAGGAGTGCGGTTGACCATATAATAGTGGGTTGGGGCCCAGCACAGTAAGATGAGTGACTGCTAAGCAAGTGTAGTGTTGCCAAGGAGGGTTTGCTTAGAGTCAGGGACTGCCCCCTCCATGTAAAAGCAGACAGTGTTTACACATTCATGGTGCTGAGGGGTGAAAGACAAGGCATGCTAAGGAAGTGCTAACCGCTGCTCTTCTCTCTTATTTCCCCAGACACCGTTCGCTTCTGACTCAAGATGATCTGATGTCTGAAGTGGACTCTTACCAACCATGATGGCTACACAGACGCTAAGTATAGACAGCTATCAAGATGGACAGCAAGTAAGGCCCTGACTTAGTCTGCATCCTGACGACCGCCACGCGACCTGACACTAAAGTCAGACCGCACTCTATGTGACTAGTTAATCTCCATGAGCTTGAGCATCCAACTTTAAATACAGTAGGCATCCTTTACTCTCAGAGCTCAGAGCTATCAGTTGTGTATGGTAACTCCTTAAGTGGCGCCACCTCCTGGCCAGCCACCAAACCATTTCCAGGCTGTTTAACTGTGCATGCGAGCATGTGGTGCTGGGGATTAAAAACTGGGGCACTTGCTGCCTGCTGCTGCTGGTGCACACCTCGAATCCTAGCACTCAGGAGACAGAGGCAAAGGCTGGCGAATCTCCTGAGTTCGAGGCCAGCCAGAGCGACACAGAGAACCCCGGTTGCAAAAATCAGCACAATACAAAAAAACAACAACAAAAACTAAAACAAAACCGGCACTAACCTAGCATTTGTGAAGACCTGGGTTGATCTCAGCACTGGGAAGAAAAAAAAAGACAGAAAAACTGGATGGATGTGTGTGTTTTCGCAGTGTTAGTAATGGAGTTTTTAGACTCATGCTTGCAGACACTTTAATGCTGGTCCCCTTTAGCTGGGTATTCTGGAGGTTTTGATGTTGAGGCAGTCTTTCTGCATAGTCTAGACTGGCCTTGAACTTCCAATCCACCTGTCTTGGTGTCCTAAGTGCTGGAGCATAGGTGTGTACCATGTACCTGGCTCTGGTTTGTTTTGAATGTTTGTTTGTTGCTTATAGGTCTACATGTACCACAGGGCATGTGTAGAGGTCAGAGGCCAAGTGGCAAGAACCAGTTCTCTCCTTCCACTGTGCAGGTACCGGGCTTGTGAGTCTCGGCAGCAAGTTCCATTACCTCTGGAGCCGTCTGGCTAGCCCCCGCTGGATGTTGTTTGGTGAGACAGGGTCTCGTGCTCTCTACCGTGAACTGCCTCAGCCTCCGGAGTATGAGGTCACAAGTAGGGGATCCATCTTGGCACAGCATTAAGACTGTATACTTCTCTCACAGAGGGTCTGAGTTCAGTTCCCAGAAACCCTGGCAGCTTGCAGCTGCCTGTAACTCCTGCTCTCTAGTATCCAGTGTCGTCTTTTGGACTTAAAGGGCACCTATGCCCTTAATGGTATATACCCACTCAATCCCATGCAGATCCATTGTTTAAAACATACAAGTAAATCAAGATAAAATAAACTGGGAATCCTGTGGCTTTATCTCCCCAGTGGTAAGCATAGGATGGCACTGTCCTAGTAACGCCGCCCTTAGTGGAGCTGCGCTACAGACCTGTGTGTGCTTGCACTGTTGTGTTCTGATGAGGGTAACTTCTTGATGGTCTGTTCACTGAAAACACTGTTCAGTGTTTTCATAGGTGTGGTGTGCACCACAGCAGCTGAGGAGAAGCTCAGCTGACTAACTGGCCCCTCCTTACAGCGGGGGTCCTGTTGAGTGCTGCCTGGGCCTTCTCAGTTGGGCTGTTGTGTTCCTGCTGGGCAGTGTTGGCAGAGAAGGAATGCCACCTGCCCTCTTTTGCCCCAGCCTGAGGATTTGAGGGAGACCAGGGAAGTCTGTCAAGGGTGTCTGGGAGCTGGGGCAGCTCTGCCTCCCTTTCCTTCATGACCAGTTGTGCACTGTTTTTGTCTGGTTGCAGATACTTGGTTTTGTTTAGTGTTTTTTGTTATTTTGAGTCTGCCTTAGGCCTTTTTCTTTTCCTTCACCTGGCTTCCCTTCCTTTCCCCTCCCCTTCACTCCCCAAACACTTCCTGCTTCTTTTGTTACTGTTTTAAGACAGGGCCTCACGTGTAGCTTAGCTCAGGCTGGCCTATAACCTTCTTGGTATATGAGGATGACTTTAACTCCTGATCCTCCTGCCTCCCTCCTGAGCACTGAAATTACAGCTGTGTGCTGCCACACCCAGTGCTGGGTGCTTTGTTTTTTTTTATAATGCAAATCTAATAATATATCTCCTCCCTGAGGCCTGAAATGATTCCCCACCCATGTCAGGCAAGATCCAAACTGCCCTAGCTCTGTGTGTGTGTGCCAGGTTGATATCAGGCCACCCATCACCTCAAGACTACTCAGGAATCTCTGCCTAGAGGCTCTGCCTCTGGCTGCTCCAGTTGCCTTCCCGTCTTGTCCTTCAGGTCTTTGTTCAGACTAGTCTTCTACCTGTCTTCTGTGTATATCTTGTACCAGACAGAGTGGGGACAGCCTCCTGCAGCGGGGCCAGGTGCTCTTTCAGAGACATTCCATGTCCCCTAGGTGGACAGTCACACCATCCTGTAATGCTTTTTTTTTTTTAAGATTTATTTTATTATTTATATAAGTACACTGTTTCTGTCTTCAGACACACCAGAAGAGGGCATTGATCCATTACAGATGGTTGTGAGCCACCCTGTGGTTGCTGGGAATTGAACTCAGGACCTCTGGAAGAGCAGCCAGTGCTCTTAACCACTGAGCCATCTCTCCAGCCCCTGTAATGCTTTTTTAAAAAAAGTCTTTATTATTTTTATTTTCTATGCATTGGTGTTTTGTTTGCATGTATGTCTGTGTGAGAGTGTCAGATCTTAGAGTTACAGACAGTTGTGAGCTGCCGTGTGGGTGCTGGCAATTTGGGTCCTTTGGAAGGTCAGTCAATGCTTTTAGCTCCCGAGCCAGCTCTCCAGCCCTCCCCTCCCCCATGATGTTATTTTATACACACAATCAGAGGCTTGCCTGGTGTTCACTGTGTAGACTAGGTTGGCCTTAAACTCACAGTGATCCACCTGCCTCTGCCCCTGAGTGCTGGGATTAAAGGTGTGAGCCACCTTGCCTGGCTAGTTGCTTTATTATTATTTTAAGAACATGTATGTGTGTGAGCCTGTGTGAGTTGGTGTGTTCCGTACCTGTGCAGAAGCTCTCAGAGGCCAGAAGAGGGTGCTAGGTCCCCTAGAGCTGGAGTTAACAGGTGCTTGGGGAGCCCTGTGGGTGCTGGGACCAGGTTCTCTGGAAGAATAGCCGGCCAGTGCTCTTCATTCTCTAGCCCCCAGGTTGCCTTGTTTTTTGAAAGAAAAAGAAAAAAAAAAAAGAATTTTCCAAGTATGTTGTACTATCGTACCGTGTTGTATGGAAACAGGTCGGCCTCTTTTTTTTTTTTTTTTTTTTTTTTTTTAAGGTTTTTTGAGACAGGGTTTCTCGGTGTAGCCTTGGTTGTCCTGGAACTCACTCTGTAAACCAGGCTGGCCTCGAACTCAGAAATCCACCTGCCTCTGCCTCCCAAGTGCTGGGATTAAAGGCGTGCCTCACCACTGCCCAGCAAAGCAGTAAGTATTATTTTTTTTTAAGATTTATTTACTTATTTTGTGTATAAGAGTACACTGTAGCTGTTTTCAGACACACCAGAAGAGGGCATTGGATCCTGTTACAGATGGGTGTGAGCCACCATGTGGGGTCTGGGAATTGAACTCAGGACCTCTGGAAGAGCAGTCAGTATTCTTAACCACTGAGCCATCTCTCTAGCCCCAGGGTGGGCTCTTCTTAAGGACAGTTTCACTCTTATGTCAGTAAGCTTCAGGGGAGGAGTAATCCACATTTCATTAAGGACTTAAATCCATTTTATCTGTTTAACAGAGTAAAGATGTTATAACCCTAGTAAACACAGCTGGGCTTTACTTTCTAGATAAAGTGCCCTTTGTTTACAATTGTGTGTTGGGATAGGAGAGATGGCTCCTGGTTAGGAGCTCAGCCTGCTCCTGCAGGGCTCAGGTTTGGTTTCTAGAACCACACTGTGTGGCTCACAGCCACTTATCTCTCTCTCTCACACACACACGCACACACACACACACAAACACACACATACTTAAAAATCTTATCAAAAACCATGTACTTGTGAGTGTATGCTGGGGGTCACCCAGGAAAGGAGCTGCACGTGAGCTCTGTCCTCAGCCCATGGCCACCTTTGCATAATGGCGCGGGGTTGCGTGTGGGAGAACTCGAACCCATCACAGAACTGCAGTGTTGCATTCGAGTGTTTCGTGTGTGAATGGAAGAAGAGCAGACCGCTGTTCACCCTCTCGCCAAGTCACTCACTGGGAGCCGTGCAACACAAAGAGTCAGCTTGTCAGCCGTGCATAGTGACTCACTTCCTCACACATTTGCCCTTCATGCTGCCTGCTCTTAGGGCATACAGAGGCAAGGGTTGCTGTTGGTGGTGTTTGTGTTCTTGTCGGCAGTTAGCTAATCCTCCAGCTCTGTGTGAGCAGCACTGTGTATGTATTCTGGAACAGAACTTCTCCTTTTACAGATGCAGGTGGTCACAGAGTTGAAAACAGAGCAAGATCCCAACTGCTCTGACCCGGATGCAGAAGGAGTGAGTCCTCCTCCCATCGAGTCTCAGACGCCAATGGACGCTGACAAGCAGGCCATTTATAGGTAGTGCCTGGGTGTGAACTGTGTGGTGCCTGGGTGTGAACTGTGTGGCGCCTGGGTGTGAACTGTGTGGCGCCTGGGTGTGAACTGTGTAGTTGTCAGAGGACTAGAGAGACCCTTGCAGGCGTGTGAAGTGGAAGTCAGGGCTGGATCTCAACTGAACACTTTTCAGACTGAGATGGTACTTCTAATAATAAAAGGAAGGTTTTACAATATCCACCTAAATTTGGGTAACCTCTCAGGAAATCTTCAGGTCAGGCATGGTGGTGTACCCTTAGAATCTCAGCACAGGGGATAGACAATTCTAAGCCGGTTCCAGGCCAGTCTGGACTACAAAACAAAACTCATGTAAGTGAATGACCGGAGTTTGATTCCTGGAACCCACAGGGAGTGAGGAGAAGGCCACATATTTGTCCTCTGACCTCCACATAATGCAGGTCTAGAAACTATCATTTTGCTCTCTTGACCTCAGCTCCCCAGGTATCTCCTGAGTGAGCACTCACTTCAGTTACGTAGTATCTTTTCTTGACTGGCTTCTTTCACCTGAAGTGTTTTACCCAGGACTCTGTAAATAAGAGTCTGCTGGGACTTTGTTCCTTTTCGAGGCTGAGTCATATTCCACCATTTATACACCACATTTATCTGTCAGCAGACACTTGGGCCCTTGGGGTTTGGAGTGCCTCATCCTTTTTGAGATAGGATCTCTCTGTAGGTCTGGCCTGCTCTGGAACTCACTGTATAGATAAAGCTGGCCTTGAACTCACAACAATCTACCTGCCTCTGCCTCCCAAGTGTGCCACACAGCCAGCTGTGCTTCCTTCGACTGTCGTGCACTGTGAGCACAGGTATGTAGATGTGTTAGCTGTACACACTGTTAGAAGCTTCCCTCATGTTCCTCAGACTAGAAACAGCCTGGATGTTTCTCAGACACTGGCAGGCCCATTGAAAGGAAGGAATATGGTTGCATAAACATGTTCATGGGAACCCCAACTATTGGAAGCCCTTCTCCGAAGGCTTGCATTTTGTATGATTGCTTTTCCATTCTTTTTTGTTTTTTTTTTGGTTTTTTGAGACAGGGTTTCTCTGTGTAGCCCTGGCTGTCCTGGAACTCACTCTGTAGACCAGGCTGGCCTCGAACTCAGAAATCCACCTGCCTCTGCCTCCCAAGTGCTGGGATTAAAGGCGTACGCCACCACCACCCGGCCCAAATGATTGCTTTTCCATAACACCAAGAAAGACCGAGAGTCCTGGAGCTGCTCTGTGTCCTATTTATAGTGGTGGCTAGACACACATGGAAGGATCTAAGCACCTAGAGTGGCCTATTTTATTATTGGATAGTTCATAAATAAAGATTGAAACCCAGGCATGGTCCCTGCTGTAATCCTAGGCCTTGGAAGGCTGGAACTAGAGGAGTATGAATCAAGGCCAGCCTGGACTGCGTAATGAGACCCTATCATAAAACAAAGAGCAAACAAATAAGAGATATTAGTGAAAAGATTAGGAGTTTTGAAAAAATATTTTCATCTAGTGTAAAACTAACCCAATTAAAAGTATTTCATGAAACAGTTCACTCAGAGTAGCCATACCATAAACATTAAAACACAAGTAATGGATGGGTTAAGAGAGATGGCTCAGTGGGAGAGATGGGCTGTTCTTCCCGAGGACCCAGGGGATCTGGTGCCCTCTTCTGGCCTCCATGGGTACCAGGCGTGCACATGGTGCACACACATGGAATAACATTTTAAAAGAATGTACAGAAACAAGTAGCAGGCTGTTTAAAAATCATTCATACACGCCAGAGAATGCACATCTGTAACTTCATGACTTGAGGCTGATGCAGGAGATCCTCAGTTAGAAGCCAACCTGACTGAATTACGATCCCTGTGTCAGAGGGGCGGAGGCCCGTGGTGCACACATCCCAGCGCGTCCTAGAGAGATGTGGCACAGGCTGGCTCTGTTTCCCCACAGGCACCCGCTATTTCCATTGCTAGCCTTGTTGTTTGAGAAATGTGAGCAGTCCACACAGGGCTCAGAAGGCACGACGTCTGCCAGCTTTGATGTGGACATTGAGAACTTTGTCAGGAAGCAAGAAAAGGACGGGAAGCCCTTCTTCTGTGAAGATCCGGAAACCGACAACTTAGTGAGTAAAGTCCCCACTTTGTTTCTACTTGCTGTGATTGAAATCTGCTCACGCAGTTTACCTTCCTGCCCTTCTGGTTTTTAGCTAATTTTCCCTTTAACAGTCTAACTAATTGTGCCTCTTCGTGAGGTGGGGCTCAGTGCTCTCAAGGGTGTCTGTGAAGATTCCCTGGGGCAGGCTGCTCCTGCAGGGAGTCTGCTGAGCTTGAGCTGTAAGTACAGATCTAATCTTAGAAACAGGCTCCCTCCAGCACTGACACCAGTTGCTGTGCCTTCCTCCTGTCCAATGCAGTAGAGAGGTCTGAGGACACAGCGTCCTTCGTCAGGGCACCTGCACTGACTGTTTGCCCTTTGAACCTGAGCCTCTGTCAGACTCAGATAAACTTAGAAAGCCCACAGCAAGGCCTTCTCTGGGTTTTGTAAATACCTTGCAGGACTCAGGCCATCAGCCGGTCTGTGGAAGCATCATCGTCTGTGGATAAATTGTGTCAGTTTTAAGTCTGTTGCTTTTGACTTCTTGCATGATCTTTACTACTTGAGAGGGTGCCAAGGTGGGCTCCGTCAGACTCTGCGCTGTGCTCTGGAATGCCTGTCGTCTGAGTAAGCATCAGAAAAGCTTTTGGTTGTGGCCCATCCCTGGCCTGGCTCAGTTGCGGGGATGAGCCTCATCCCTGCCAGCACCTCACGTGAGCACGGGATCTAGCTCAGCTCACACTCCATAGCTTTTCTTACTGACTGCTCTCTCACTGCAGCAAGAATGTATCTAGCTTCATACACGAGTCTGTGGCCGAGGGGCTAGCCCGTGCTCACACAAGGAGTGCCAGTAACATGGCACTGATGGCATTTGTGACTTGCTTGAGAGCAAGTCTCCTCAATGCTTGATGATGTCATATTAAACAAGAGAGAAATAATACAAGAAGAACTTGGGGATCTAGAGCTAGGCCAAGTGTTCTTAGACTTGACACCAGACGCATGATCCAGAAACGGCAGAGCTGAGTGTTGGGTGAGGATGTGGAGATGGAGCGGGGCGGCTGCAGCACAGCCGTGCTGAAGGAGGCACCCTGCTCTGTGTGTGGCACAGGCGCAGCCAGAGCTGGGGCAGAGACCCTAGAGTGCTGGGTCACAGTGCTGTTCCTCTTGTGTTGCTAGCACTGCTGCTGTCTCTGTCTAATAAGTAAGAGTGGTGACAATGGCGACTTCTGATACGGACGGACAGCACACTGTTTCCCAGCTACAAGTCTTTATTTCCTCTGCCTCTAGATGGTGAAGGCGATCCAGGTCCTGCGCATTCATCTTCTTGAACTGGAGAAGGTTAATGAGCTCTGTAAAGATTTCTGTAGTCGGTACATTGCTTGTCTGAAGACGAAAATGAACAGCGAGACCCTGTTGAGCGGGGAACCTGGAAGTCCGTACTCCCCTGTGCAATCCCAGGTACTTGCCTTCGGGGCCCAGTGTGCTTTTTGGTCATTGTGGTATTATTGGTCCCATAGCGTTAACTCCGAGACCGTCAGCTCCTACACAATTGCTGGCTTCCTTGATGATGAAAGACCCTTCTTAGCTCTTTTTCTTACTGTAACCATTTCAGGGAATATAGCCCTGGATATTAAGTGCATTCTCACTGCTGTGTGACCATTGCCACCACTGTAACTTCAGGACTTTCTGGTCTTCCCAAAGGAAGTCCTCTCCCATTAAATACAGCTCATCCCGGAGTTCCCCCGGCCCTGTCATTCTCTTTTCTATCTCTGAGTTGACTAGCTAGCTTCCTCACAGATGGAGACTCATACAGCACGGCTAATGTCTCTTCTCGGAGTGCTCTGAAACCTAGTCAGGGATAAAGCACCATTGTACTTTAGCCTTCCTGGTGTGTGGTGGTATTTCGTCATGAACTTTATTTGTATTTTGTTTGTATTTCCCTGATAGCAAATGATGCTGTCATGTGCTGATCTGCCATCTCTGGGACGTCTTTGCTAAAAGTCTGCTTACGGCTTTTGCTCATTTTTTTTTAACTTTTATTTTCCTTACATTTCTGAGTTTTGAAAGTTCTAATTGTCTGCAGATGGTTATCTGCTCCAGCATCTGCTTTTCTTTCCTGTTGTGTCAGACGCCAAGTGGGCATGTTTCAGGAGCGTCTCCGTCTCTGTCCGATGTTCTGTGCCATCGGTCTGTGTGTCTGTACCGTGAGGCCCTGATTATTACAGCTCCCCGGCAAGGCTCAGCCTTGGAGAGGTGTTTCCTCCCGCTGCATCTTTCTTGGGATTGTTCTAGCTCTCCTGGTGGCTTTACTTCTCCATATAAATTGTCAACGATGCTGTGTAGATCTATAGAACAAATCCACCGTGGGTTTTGACAGAATTGCAGGAGCTGACATCTTTACTCTGTGATTCTTCAACCCACACCACACCACACATCTGCATCACCTGGGCCTTTTTGTCAGTGCTCTGTGGCTTTCAGCATAGTGACCCATGAGGACACACAAGTAGCTAGGTATAGTGGCATGTACTCCTAATCCCAGCACTTATGAGGCAGAGACGGGCAGATCTCGGTGAGTTTGAGGCCAGCCTGGTCTACATGTAAGTCCTAGGACAGGCAGAGATACACACTGAGACTCTATCTTAAATACACACAGGTGTCTCTCTGAGTGACTATAAATGGACTGTGAGTGTTTTTAAAGACTTACTTAGTTTTAGATGTGTGAGTGTCGCCTACATGAATGTATGTGTGTCTTGTCTGGTTGCCAAGGACACAGGAAGACGGTATCAGACTTCCTGGAACTGCCATGAGTGAGCTGCCATGTAGTTCTGGGGACCAAACCCTAGTTCCCAGAACCACCCGTGTGCTCTTACCTCCTGAGCTGGCTCTCCAGACCCCAGATTATAGTTTTTGGTTTTTGGTTTCTGAAGAAAAGCAGTTAAGTTTGTTTTGGTTTTCTTTTTGTTTTTTGAGACACAGGTTCTTTGTGTAACCATGTCTGTCCTAGAACTCTGTATCTCTGTAGCCCAGGCTGGCCCCAAACTCAGAGAGCTCTGCCTGCCTCTGCCTTCCAAGTTCTAGGATTAAAGGTGTATGTCACCATATAGCTTTTCTTTTTCTTTTTCTCCTCCCTCTCTCTCTCTCTCTCTCTCTCTCTCTCTCTCTCTCTCTCTCTCTCACATGCACGCACACACACACACACTTTCATGTGTGGAGGAGTTAATTTTTAATGTACCCCAAGAATATTCATAAGAATATCACACAAAGCATATAAACCTGTGTGTTTCTGTGAGCAGTTGTAGAAGGTAGTGGATTTAATTTCAACATTGCGTCATGTGTGTAGGATGCTTTAGCCGTGCTTGTGGGTCTGTTACTTTTTTACCCTCTTCCCCATCTGTCAGAGCCCCTCCTAACAGTGGATGCTTGTTCTCATATCTTAAGGCCCTGATGAGTTCATTTCTCCATTCTAAATGAGGCATTTGTTCCGTCCATTCCCTAGTCTGTCTGTCTGTCTCTCTCACTGGTCCTGTACAATAGGGAGAGCTCTGTTTGCTCCCTTCCTGACCTCTGTGCCGTCTGTTCCGCTTTCTTGCCTATTGCGTCAGTTGAAATATACAGTGCTGACTGAAGGTGAAGGCGGACTTCCTCCTCTTGTCCCTGGTCGCTTCTGGTGCCTGTCAGCCTGTGTTGTCAGCTCTGCGTGTGCTCCTTCTGTCCTGAAAGGTCTGGTTGTAGAGAAGTGTCTTAGCCGAGTCTAAGGAGGAAGCTGTGTTCTGAAAGCAGGGTCTCTCTGCTCACCTCCTGGGCTTGAACAATAGGATCATCGTGACCAGTGTGGCTGGGTTTGCATCTCTAGTTCCCGTTGGGACACTTGTTCTCTGAAAGCTAGTCAACTGCGTCTGCTCTATGGCCCTGGCCTCCCCTTCCTATTCCAACATTATGATATTTCTTCCTTTGAAGTTTCAAACATGGTTTTTCTGTGTTCTAATAATTCTCCCAATGTGTATGTTCTGACATTCAGCAGATTCAAAGCGCCATCACAGGCACTCTGAGCCCCCAGGGAATTGTGGTGCCAGCATCAGCCCTGCAACAGGGAAATGTAACCATGGCAACAGTGGCAGGTAGGACCATGTAAAAACAGACACTTTTTCCATGAGCTTTTGCAGAAACAGATCCATTATATTAGAACAAGCACATATATAAGTGTCTTTTAACTCCCATTTTTCTGTCCTCAGTTTCACTGTGTCTTACTGAGTGCCCATTACTCACATAGCAGGGCTAGAGTCCAGAGCGGTTCCGGTACCTGCTTGTTGGTTTTCAGCATGAATGTTGTACAGATTGTGGCTTTCTACCAAAGGCATTTGGGAAAAGGTTTCATATAGGGATTGAATATACACAGCAAGGGGCTGGAGAGGTGGCTGAGCTGCTAAGAGCACTTACTGCTCTTCCAGAAGATCCGAGTTCGATTCCCAGCACCTGCATCAGGCTGCTCACAACTTTCTGTATCTCCAGGTCTGAGGTTCCCTGTGGGCGCTGCACTCATGTGCCTATACCTACACTCACACATAGACATGCATAATTTAAAACAATAAAGTAAAAAAAGAAAGCATACATCAAAAACTAAATTATGATTTCAAGTAATATAGTTTTTAAAATACTTAGCTGATGGGTGTGGTTGTGTGCGTGTGTAAGCATGTGCACACATGTGCATCATAGCATGTGTGTGGAGTTCAGAGGACAACTTGCAGGGATCATTTCTCTCTTTCCACCGCATGGGTCCCAGGACTCAAACTCAGATTATCTGTGCTTGATAGCAAACACCTTTACCTGATGAGTCATCTTGCAAACTTCTCAAGTAACATAGTTTTTAATTGTGCTATCCACAGGACCCACAAACTGCTTAGTTGTATCATAAATTGGTGGTGCCAACCAAGGGAAAATATTGCCTGTGTCTTTTTTATAACAGAATCATTATAGAATAGGGACAGGTGAAGCATTTTCTGCTCTGTGTAGAATATAGCACATAGAAGAATCATGAAAGAGAAGGGTTGCTAAGAAACATAACTCGAGTGCAGGGTGGCAGTGTACCAGGAGGCAGAGGCAGGCAGAGTTCAGTGAGTTCAAGGACAGCCAGGGCGACATGAAACAAACAACCAAGAAAAGGCCACCAGAAATCTAGAATGAAGATGTCCGTTATCTAGTACCTCTAGCCAAGTTCTGGATATGTGCCATTTGTGGAAAAGGAAAACAGAGGCAACCAAGAGGAGGGACCCGCCACATCCCCAGTGACAAGAACAGAAATGGGGTGATAATTTGTCTAACCAAATAGTTTGCAAAGAATTGTTGACCATCTGAAATGGTTAAAGGCTCACCAGCTGGCTGTTCGTTTCTTCCATAAGCACACCAGGAAGAATGGCTTTAAATCATGAAGACTAAAAGTAGTTCATCTTGACATTCTCTTTTCCTTTTTGAGGTGGCACAGTGTACCAGCCTGTCACCGTCGTCACTCCACAAGGCCAAGTGGTCACGCAGGCGTTATCTCCTGGGACCATTAGGATCCAGAACTCGCAGGTGTGCTGCCTTCTAGATGGACTTGTTGTGGGCTGCCTGGGTAGGGTGCAGTGGAGCTGGCTAAGCTGTCTCCTTGTGACAGCTCCTCATTTGTTGTCAAGTAGCCTCTGGTTGGTTTGTTTCTTTTCATGCTTCATCTCCTTTACTTTGGAAATTTGCAAAATTCAGAAGTGTCTGCGACACCAGGGAAGTTATTCATGGCCCTGGAAGCAGCCATGGTGAGTGGCGAGGCTGGCTTACGTGAGTGTCCACTGTGGGTGCTCACCAAGACTCCAAGAACTGTGGGTGCAGAACAGCCAGGCCAAGGTTTTAGAACCACAGAGCTCAGACCACCCCTCGCCTGAGGCAGCACTCCAAGCTCTGGAGGCATCCCAGGCCTCTGCTCGGCATCCTGGGCATGGCCGGGGTCCTGTGTTAGAGCCAGGCTCTCACCTTCAGGCGCTTTGCTTCCAGAACAAGAGATGACCTGTGACTTACCATGGCCATGGTCCTTCTACAGTCTTCCTGTCCCTTTATGTGAAGTGTAGATATTGGATCTTCCTGGCTGGAAGACCCTCTAAGTTCTGGAAACATGATTGTTTTCTTTTTCTTACTTTGAATAATTAAAGGCAAGGTTTAAAGTATAATTCTTCCTTTGTGCACATGGCTTCACTTTATCAGGTCTCTGTCCATGTCCTCATCGGGGATGCTCATGCCTAGCCCTGGGTGTGGTCCATGTCCTCATCGGGGATCCTCATGCCTAGCCCTGGGTGTGCTCCAGGTGGGCTACAGTGACTCTCAGTGGTCTCCGTAGTCTGGAGCTGCCATCTTGGGCACAGAGGTTTGGGGGCCACACTAGTGAAAAAGACACAGGCATCACTGACATAGGCGGAGGCTTCAGAGCTGATCTGAGCCGTGTGAGTGCTCAGACCCAGGCTTAGAGGAGAGCTAGATCTCACTAGCACTGCTGTGTCTCCACACAAGCCCTCTTCCCTTGGGTTTTCCCATTTAAAATGTTTGCAACCATAGAGCCATGCCCCATCACTGACTGACTAGTTTCTAGGGTTGAATTGTGCTTCCTCTAGGAGGAAGACAAAGAATGAACTAGTACTGTAGCGTATACGCATTTGTCTTGTTGAAAAAGAAAGGGATGTTTGTTTGTTTGTTTGATGTAAGGGAATTGGGAAGGGTTTTACTTTGTACCCTGCCTGGCCTGGAACTCACTGTGATCCTTCTGCCTCAACCTCCCAAGTGAAGAGACTTCCATATAACTGAGTTTTCTTAGGAATAAGGGTTGCTCGCTTACATAGCAAACACGCCAAGTCTGAGGACTTCGGGTGCTTTCTGACCCTCGTTCTCACCGTTGCTCACTGTCGCTGGGGGGCCCTGTGTGACATGACACATGGGCTCTGTTCAGAGAGCACTGCAGCCCCCTGAGGGGGTGTCAGCCTTGGTGGGGACACTCTGACCCGACAGCAGACTAGAGCTGGGACTTCTGGAAGACGCCCACTGAGAAATCTTTCTGCTGCTGGTGTGCACCCGTGTAAAGATGGTTTTGAGAGTGAGGAGAGGGCAGGAGGGAGGTTCTCATGAATGTCTAGCTGGCCTTAGACTGCATATAATAAAGACTAGCCCCGGCCTTGTCATCCTCTGCTCCCACCTTCTGAGGGTTAGGATGCCCACATGTGTCCCTCCCTCCCCTCTCACCCTTACTTGGGATGTTTTTATGAGGTGGAGTGTGTCACAGCTTAGCCCTCAGGGCACCATAGGCAGGCCACAGATCTGAAGAGTTCTCCATTCCCCCCAGGTCTCCTCCACATCCTGAGCCATTTATTCTACTATTTCCTCGTGTTTCTAAAAGAAAGCTTGCCTCTGTTGAATGCCCTTGAAACGTGCTCGTCTGCCTTTCACTGCAGCGGGGCTCCACTCTGACCTCCCCCTGTACACTGTCTGACTCCAGTTGCATCATGCCAGCTGCATGGTGACACCCAACAGCAGCCCCTGCCGTGCACTCGGCAGCAGTTCTGTGTGTTTGGCTCACGTGCTGCTTTCTTTTTGTGTGTGCAAGGTTTTCGGTATGTAAGTGTCCAGAGTGTCAGGTGACACATCAGTATGACTTGTCCTGCCAGAGCCAGCTGTTTCGGGGCTGTCTTCCAGCCCTGGGCCCGTTGTGCTGGTCCTTATTGTCAAGGCCATTGCAGAGGATGCAGATGGAGCCAGGAATACTAGGGTGTGAGAGTTCCCAGGTTCCTCTCTAGTGTGCCACCGTCCAGGAGCTCGGAAGCTTCATGACAGAGTAGGGTGGTTGAACACACACTGACAGCTCGTGATGTCTCTAGACTTTAACCCCTTGGTGCACTGCAGAGGTTAGGGTCTGTGGACAGTCCCTGCCTGGAGGTGTAGGTCAACAGTTCAATAGACAAGAAGGCATCCCTTATCAGTTTGAAGAGTCTAATTGTCGGGCTTACATGCTGAAAAATGGCAACTAAGACCAAATATTATTGTTGACAGTGTCAGGCATACCCTCAAAGATTAATCTGTACAGGGTTTCATCAAACGCCTCTTGACTGTAAATAAATGGGAAGGCCTCCATCTGAAGTTGTAAGCTACTCGAGGTGTTGGCATTTCAGGCCCATTCTGACGTTATTTATCAATTGTGTGAAAGCTTCAGTTGCAGTTGAACCAAGACCTCAGCATCTTGCATCAAGAGGATGGCTCCTCCAAGAACAAGAGGGGTGTCCTGCCGAAGCACGCCACCAACGTGATGCGGTCCTGGCTCTTTCAGCACATAGGGGTAAGCGTGCACTGGCTACACCACGAGGGACCCTGAGACAGCCTCCTGGCTGTGTCCCTGGGGAAACTGACTTGCATTTATTGCAAATAGATCTAAGTATTGATTCTGTGCTGTGGCCATAGTGGGGATTGAGCACAGGTCTCTAATAATGGCTTCAAGAAACTTAAAATGCAGCAGGGATCCCCACTGGTGGAAAGGGAGTCAAGTCAATTATGTGTCTTTGGGTCAGAAAAACCCTACATCTGATGGGGCTGGCTGGAGAAGGAGGCAGAGAAAAGGACATTGGAACAAGCCACAGAGTCACGCAGTGGATCCAAGAGGGAGATGCCGGGGGCCAGGGGCACATCGTGAGTCCGGCACAGTGAGGAGAGCCAACACATGGCTTATGTAGTTTAAAATGAGTGGCCCGGGCAGGAAGGGAGCACACAAGTGTATATGATAGGGCTGCTAGCGAGGGTGCTGTCAGGTAGAGGACAGGAAGTGACGGCCAGTGCTGTGGCTGTGGTGCTGTGGTCATAGTTCCTCAGGAAGTGCTGCATTGGTGCGTCTCTCCTTTTCCGTGTCAGTATCTTACCACACTGCCCTTTAATGAGTTAATAATTTCTACATAAGCCCTGGTCACAGTGACCAGCGAGGGCACCTCTGCCTTGTGCTCCTGGTCCTCCTTTATAACACCTGGTTTTCTAACCAGTGGGCAGCAGTGACTGCTGTCTGTGTCTGACCTCACTTCTCATCTCTCGGTGTTCTGTTTAGTTTTATTTTGTTTTGTTTTATTTTGTTTTCCAGAGCTGAGGACCGAACCCAGGGCCTTATGCTTGCTAGGCAAGCACTCTACCACTGAGCTAAATCCCCAACCCCTCACCTCTTGTTTTTACATAGCTTCTTACATGTGATGTAAGGTGAGGCAAATCCTTCCCTCAGAGCTAATCCCTGAAACAAGGCCTCACTGTGGCCAGCTGGCCTCAGACTTGCCGCTGTCCTACCGCTCCATCCTCAGTGCTGATGACGTACGCACTGCTGAACCCTTTGTTTTCTGAAGTTTGTGTAGGACACTGGTTCTCGTCCTTCCTAGCACTGCCACTCTTTAATACAGTTCCTCACATTGCTACCTCATAACTGTAGTTCAGCTACTGCTGTGAATTGTAAGGTGTTCTTTTTGGAGCTAGAGGTTTGCCACAGGTTGAGAACCACTGGTCTAGGGTAAGCACGGACCCCGTTTCCACAGCCTCCAACTGAGCGACACTCTCATCTGTTAGGTCCAACAGATCACCCTGTTGATCAAAATCAAAATGAAGACAGATACCTGTGCTTGATCTCTCTCTCTCTCTCTCTCACACACACACACACACACACACACACACACACATACATGTTATTGTTTGTGTGGTTGGTTGGTTGGTTTGTTTTTTTGAGATAGGGTTTCCTTTTTTTTTTTTGGTTTTTCGAGACAGGGTTTTTCTGTATATCCCTGGCTGTCCTGGAACTCACTCTGTAGACCAGGCTGACCTCGAACTCAGAAATCTGCCTGCCTCTGCCTCCCAAGTGCTGGGATTAAAGGTGTGCGCCACCACCGCCCGGCTGAGATAGGGTTTCTTAGTGTGTAGCCCTGGCTGACCTGAAACTCACTTTGTAGACCAGGCTGGCCTCAAAATCAATAGAGATCTGCCTGCCTCTGCCTCCTGAGCGCTGGGGTTAAAGGTGTGCACCACCATACCCTGTGACAGCTGCTTTCTTATAGATGCCACTCACACTGGGGCCCTGTGTTCCACACTCAGGGATTTGATGATGTGGTTTCGGAGTGCTTGGCTTCTCTGCCTTCACACACAGTGGTTATCAGTCCTGAAGAGTGGTTTTGTTTTGTTTTGTTTTACTGGAATCAAGACTATTTTCCTTGAGTATGTCCAGGAGTTCTGATGCTAATTTCTAGCTTAGGTTTGGGTTTGTCTGTGTATCTTTTTGGTCTGTGCCTGCATGTGTGGACACCTGGTGTCAACACTGGGAGTCTTCCTCTGCTGTTCTCCGGCTTCCATCCCCATCCCCGAGCAGCCCAGGGATTCCAGGCTCATTTGCTGTGCTCGGGTTTTACATGGTGCTGGGGGTCCAAACTTCGCTCTTCATGCCTGGCCAGCAAACACTTTTCACAGGGAGCCATTGCCCAGCCCCCTAATTCTGGTTTCATTTTGTTTTGATTCTGAGCATGTGTAAAGGAAAGATATTATAACACACTCTCTACACCCAGCCTGTGCTTAGCTCTTTCTTTACCGACAGCATAGGTCTTAGTCTGCTTTCCAGAATTATAATAGATACAGAGACAACCATCTCAAAGGGAAAAGGGGTTTATGCTGCCCACAGTTTTAGAATTCCGGCCCATGATTGGTAGCATCATGTAGACCTTAGGTAGGGGTATCAAAGTACACAGCTCACAGCCAGGAGGTAGGAGAGGAAAGGGTTGGCTTCCAGAGTCCCCTTCAAGGAGACAACCCCCAGTGGCATAAGGTCCTCCCCTTGGTTCTACCTCCTGAGTTTTCACCAGCTCACAGTGGCAGCAGCCTGGGACGGTCAGTGTCTGTACTCCAGCGTCATGTGAGTCCAGCAGAGATCTGACCCTGAGAAAGTGCTCAGTGACATCAGCCTGTCCAAGCGTCAGTTTATTCTCATGGCTGAAGTAGGTGTCATCTGTCACTCCTGCATTAACTCTCAGCAACGTTGTTCCAGATGTGCTGTGTCAAGGCTCAGCTGGCCCTGGGCACAGAGGATGCCCCCCCCCCCCAGCAAGGCTGCAGCTCCCACTGCCATTCCTGCTACCTGAGCGAGCGCCTTGGGACACTGGCTGACTGTCCTCACCACACACTGATAGCTGCTGTAGTGTTGGATATGCTTGGCCAGGAGAGAGCTGCTGCCTTCCTCTCTGAATGTTTCTAGAACAAGGCCCAGTGTGCTGACAGCTCTACCACATCAGCCTTTGCTCTCCCTTATAGCTTTCCTTCTGCCGCGACCCTTTAACACAGGACCACGTGTGGCGTCACTCCAGCCATAGCGCTATTTTGTTGTTACTCATAACTAATTTTGCTCGACTGTCAGGAATTGTAATATAAACATCTGATATGCAGTATATCTGATATGTGACACCCAAAGGGATCACGACTCACAGGTTGAGGACCACTGGCCCAGACAGTCTTGGGTTTCCGTTTTTTTACAAAAATCAAAGCCCATGGTAATAGTAACTGTCTTTATTTTTAGCATCCCTACCCAACAGAGGATGAGAAAAAGCAGATTGCTGCTCAGACAAATTTGACACTACTTCAAGTCAACAACTGGTAAGATGACTGCTCGCTAACGCTGCACCCATCGCTGTGACAGAGCCTGGCCTCCTGACGTGTTCTGTGCTGCCATCAGGTGCTGCGGCCAGACACAGCGTGTCCTTGAACTCACAGAGATCCATCTACCTTTGCCTCCTGAGTGCTAGGATTAAAGGCATGGCGTGTGCCACCATGCCCAACTAAACTCATTTTTTTTAAAAAGATCTGGCCCCACTTTTCTGTCGACCTAGATACCTGTGCGCTTGTCACTCATGCTCCTCTTGTCAGCATGGCTTCTGAAGAAGAAGGCACCCTGTCCCAAGTCCTCACATACCCCTTTGTCCATACACAGGTTCATCAATGCCCGAAGACGAATTCTCCAGCCAATGTTGGATTCCAGCTGTTCAGAGACTCCAAAAACAAAGAAAAAACCTGCTCAGAACAGGCCAGTTCAGAGGTTTTGGCCAGACTCTCTTGCATCGGGAGTGGCACAAACAACACCCAGCGAGCTTGCCATGTCGGAAGGTACGTCACTTCAGATGGTCACAGGTGGGAACAACAGGCCAGATCAGGTGCTGTCAGCAGTGAGCCATGTGGAGCTGTGTGCCTGAGTACAGGTCCCTCTCTTTGCATCTAAGATTCAAGGCTGGCAAGGTAGCTCATTGGGTAAAGGCACTTGCCACCAAGCCTAATGACCTAAGTTGATACCTGGGGAGGACCAACTCTTACTAGTTGTCCTCTGACCTCCACACCATGCCTAAGTTACATTACACTCTCACATACTGAACAAATGTTTCAAAAGAGTAAGACAGGAGGAGGCATCCAGGGCGGTGTTAAAGGCGCAACGTGATGGAGAGGTAAGGCATGCGGGCACCCGTGAGAATGGCTGACTGTCTTGGGGTATCCCCTGCACAGTGCTCTCCTGTGAGGTGTCCCCTGCACAGTGCTCTCCTGTGTTTCCAGTTTTTCTTTGCTTTCCTTTCCAGCCTTCAGCACAGACAACAGTCAGGCCTGTTCACCTGGCCACTTTCTTTATGCCCGTCTCTTGCTTTTGATTTTTTCTTCTCTCCCCGTCACAGCCCCATTCTGATGTGTTTCAGCAAAGGCTGTTTGCATGAGCTCTTCCGAGTCTGGCTTGTTTTGTATGTGATGAGTTTTGTTTTAAGACTTTGCTGCCCTGGATGGCCTTGAACCCCTGGGCTTAATCCCTTTCCCTCAGCAACTTCTAACTGGATGTGTGTTCCTCCTCTTCTTTTTTTTTTTAATTATTATTTTATTTATCTATATTCTCAGCAAGCATGCCTCCTCTCCCTCCACCCCCCTCCCCCCTGTCATCTTCTTTCTTCATGATAGCAGTATTCTGCTATGTGCTTAGAGAGCTTTGGGGACAATATTTAATTTCTTTATGGTTTTGGAATGCTGGATGTGGAACCACTGGCCTCTTATATGCTGTTCTCCCTGAGTCCATCCCAGCCCCACGCACGCACGCACGCACGCACGCACGCACAGGCACGAAGCTGGCATTGGCATTGGGTTTCTTTGCTATCTGCTTCATGCTGAGTTGTCTCTGGTCCCCTTTCTGCCACTGCTCTTCCATCATGTGATCCCAATCCTGTCCAACATGGTTTTCTCTTAGACCATGTTATACGCCGCACCTTTCCAGAAGCGTGGGAGGGTGTGTGCCCTCCTTCCCTGACTTGACACACAGGGGTAGACTGAACAAGCAGGCAGCACCTGGCTGTGCTCTGCTCTGAGGACTCCTGACGTCCGTGACACCGATGTGCTCTGCTGCAGGTGCCGTTGTGACCATCACCACCCCTGTGAACATGAATGTGGACAGCCTTCAGTCCCTGTCCTCAGACGGGGCCACCCTGGCCGTCCAGCAGGTCATGATGGCAGGGCAGAGTGAGGACGAGTCGGTGGATAGCACGGAGGATGAGAGCAGTGCACTGGCGCCCACACACATCAGCGGGCTGGTGCTGGAGAACAGCGACTCCCTTCAGTAGGACGCACGACACGATGGGGCCAGTGTGGGCTGGGCGCCAGACTCTACTGTTTGCACAGCAAACGTTTTACACAGTTGTCTTTGTAACCTGTTTTCTATGTAGATCTAGAAGAGTGCACTTTTGTATTTCACAGCAAGCTTCAAGACGTCTTTGCTGGTGCAGCGACTTCCTTCAGATGTGCGTGTGTGAGTTTTTAATGCTAGAAACGTGACAAGTGGCCCTGCCCCTTGAGTCCCTGACGAGATTAAGGAACAGTGCTGCCATTTTGTAAAAAATTATGCAGTTGCAATTGAGTTGTGTGGTTTACAGCAGGTCTGGGGGCCGCTGCTGGTGTTGCCCACAGGTCTGAAAGATGACCTGCACATGGGCTGCAGAGCGAGAGGACGCTGGCCCTGGTGGGCTGTGGGTGCCCACGATACACTTCAGTTCTCTCGGGCAGCATTTGCCTGTTTCATTTGCTATATAGAAAAAGAAACTCCTATTTTTACCTTGCTGGGATTATTGGATAAAAAGCTATTTTTATAAATCAGTTATTAATTGGATTATGACTATATTGAGGATAAATTTCTAGAGAAGCAACAGCACATGCTTATCTTTCGATTCGGAATGTTCTGGAAGGCGGCCACCCGTGCATGGTCTCCTGCTCCCTGGGGAGGAGGGGGCTCACCTTAGCTGCTAAAAGGAAACAACTGTCAAGTGAGCTTTTGAGATCTCCAGTTTCGTGTTCATATGTGATGTGCAGATTGTATTTTACACTCGCTAGAGCGTCTTACCGAGCGTGCTCAGTAGGCTGTACGGTAAGTGAGGGCTCTGTCATGCCTAGTCTGACTGCAGTTCCACGGCTGCCCAGCCACATCAACTGGGTGGGAATTTTAGATTGTTTTTTTTTTTTTAGTTAAAACCTGTTATATATAGAATGTTTATTATAAACTAATATAACGTGTCCTCTACCCCACTGGCTCAGAGCTGGGGTAAACAGCAAACACCTAAACTGTCTTTCTTACTGGCAGACACCTGGAAGTGAGAGCCGTGGAGGGAACACAGCAGTGGGGCCACTGGTGGCCCTCACTGTCACTTGCCCTCCAGGGTCCTCCCTCTCTGTCACCACTCCAGATTCAGGACAGCTTAGGGACTTCATTTCCGAGTGTCAAGACAGAGCAGACTGTAGGCCGAGGTCTGGAGATGTGGCTTGATTTGTTTTGGTTTACTTGGGAAGATTTTTCTTAGGAAACAAGCACCCTGCTTCGAGCATCTGTTTTCACAGTGGTACCTAGGCCCACCTGCTGCTAGGGAACAGCTGGGCCCCAAGGGTGGTAACTGCTTACGGACTAAGGTTACCCTAGGGGGACCTCTTTAGCTAACTCACACTTTTTTCTGAAACAGTTTACCATCCCCCCAAATGTCTTGATTCTCTTCAGCCATTGAGCACACCTGGACAGCCAAGTAGTCAGCAAGAAAAATGGGGGCTCCTTTTGAACCCCTAACGGTGCCTCCACTACAGAAAACAAAACAGCAAAATAACAAAATGGAAAAACTTGCCAGCAACTCCTTTGAGGAGAGAATAATATTTTAAGCAGCCTTTCTATTACCTATTCACAAACTGTTTTAATACTTTAAGCCAGGCCTACAAAAGCCTGCATGATCAGGTGGCTCTATTAGGTTTCGAGCAGAAATCCATCACCCCTGTGAGCCCCGCAGAGGTCTCCTGCTCCCAGCAAAGGAAGCACAGTCCCTGCTGGGCCGGCTGGCGGCTGCTCTAGCTGGGATTTGAACACCATGATCCATCGTATCCTTTCCAGTTGAAATCATCTTTCCTAAGCACTGAACTCTCACCTGCTAAATTCAGAGGAATATCATGAAGATCATAGAAAACCTGGGCATGGTGACACCCTCCTGTAATCCCAACACTCAGGAACCTGAGACAGGAGGCAAGCCTGGGTTACTTTACTTGACCCTGTCTAAAAAAAAAAAAAAAAAAAAAAAAAAAAATATTGTAAAAGAGCCGGCACAGGGTCATACCCTTCCACCTCCCCGTGCACAGATGCTTTAAGTGATTCCCGTGAGGCGAGCCATGCTGGTTCATAGAGTTCCTGCCCGGCAGATTTGTTGTCTGCCAGTTGCACCTTCGAGACACCTGCTTGCTGGGCATTGTGGCATGTGCCTGTATATAAGCACTTACGAGGCTGAAGCAGGAGGATGGCTGCAAGGTTGAGTCCGCCTCTGGTGCGTAGTGAAATCCTGTCTCAAAAACAAAAACAAACAAAAACAACCAAACCTCCTGCCCGCCTTTCCTGGCCAGTGGAGAAAACCTGAAAGTCCATCTCCTTTGAGCTTTGTTTAAATGGTCGGATTCTAGCCTCCGTTCCTGTTAAAGTCCTCCCTAACATTGGAGCCGTTTGAATGTGTTCTGAGACCTACAGTCAACCCGTGTCATTCCTGCTGTTTGGCTGCCTAGCAGAAATCTAGACTGGCTGACCCACCCATCCGGTGGGCTCGGTTTTCTGCTTTCTTGAGTTCAGATTGTCAAATAGAAAGTGTATATGCAATATGCACTGTGACCCCTCTGGCTAGGGCTGACGGGGCCACTGTGTAGCCTGCTGAGTGGCTGGTGCACCTGTGGGGACAGGAAGCGGCAGTCTTACTCCTCCCCTGTGGCTGGCAGGATACGCCCATCCTGAAGGCCTCTCCTGCAGGTGGTGCCTGGAACACAGCCGGCTGCCTTCTTCAGTTAAGTTCGGTCTTTGAAACTGACAATCTTTAAAATGTGAATACTGTAACAATATGTTTTCTTGCATTGTTGTCTTTAAAAGGATTTTTGTGAAGCAATTGATTTATCAAAGAAAAAAAATTAAAACCAGAAACACGCCTTGTGGATGATTGATTCTGTAAAGCTCGGGCCACCAAAGCAGACTTTTTTCACTCCTGGGCGAGCTTCTCAGATTGTCACACATCTTGCAGTGACACCGTGGTGGAACAAGCTGAGGCTACCCCAGCTGTTCGGCCCATTCACACCCTCAAGGGTCTGGGCTTCAATCAGTTGACATTTTTCAAGAAAAAAAAAATTGCAAAGCAGATTTTTCATTGTAACTTTTCATAAGCTGAGTTATTTTGGCATAACAAGAGAATGATTCCTGGAAGCAGACCTGTAATCTTTGCTGGTTCCACACTGTAAAACCCCTTGTGAGGTGTATCCTGGGCACGTCCAGGCGCACAGGATGTCATCCAGGTGCTGCAGGTACCCAGCTTGTGCTTAGAGCAGTGGGCCAAAGGGCTTTTTTTCTTCAGAAGTGTGTCTAAGGGTCAGGAGTGACGCTCTCAGTTAGCACAGAGCTTGCCTGGCATGCACAGAACCCTGGGTTCCATGGTCAGCACCCCATAAATATGGCATACCCCCCCATAATCCTGGCAGTTGGGAGTAGAGGGTCAGGGAAGCAGAAGCCCAAGCTCAAACTTGACTGCATCCTAGATCTGAGACAGGAGAGACCTTGTCTCAAAAGACAAAGGAGCAAACTGGGACTCTGGTGGCCAGTGGCAGGAAGTGTCTGACTTTCAGAAGGTGGAGGTTCATGCCCTTGAACTCTGCCATCCAAGGAGGATAGATAAGACCTTGGGCCACCGATACCAGGCTCTCAGGGGCTTCCGTTGTGAGAAGCAAGAGTCTAGCTTTCAGGTTTCATGAAGCTTTAAGATGCTGTCTGGCTATAAAGAGAAACCCTGTCTCGAAAAACCAAAAAAAAAAAAAAAAAAGATGCTGTCTGGCTAACAAGACCCGACATGCCTATTTAGACAGAAACAAGCAGGTGAGCAGTGGCCTAGCAGATACTGCAGGTCGGTGGTACGTTTGGATTAAAACGTAGGGTTTTGCCCTTTGTTGATTTATTCAGTGCTTAGCCCACAAGCCTTTCTATGGACTCAGAGGAAGCCTTGGTGTCATACTTATGTGTCCTTGTACAGTTAGATCTCTAGCCTTTGCTGGGTCCTATGAGTCCCGTTCCCTTTTTTAGACCTACATGTTGCCAGGTATAGTGTAGCTCATGCTGATAATCCCAGTATTTAGGATGGTGAGGCAGGGGGATTGCAGTTCCAAAGACAGACCGAGCAACATAGCACATGGAACTACAGAAGCCAAAAAAGCAGGGTTAGCACATTTGGAGACTTTCCCGGGACTTTGATGGATTAGGTTTCTATTTTCATTTTGGTGGATGGTCCTGTCTGCATTGCTGACTTTAATAGCCTGAGTGGTACTTCCATCATGGAGTCAGTTGTGCTAAAGTCTGGGACCCTGTCACACTCTTCCCTCCCCATTTTTTTCCTGTCTGGCCTCTTGATGTCTTGGAGGGCCAGCATGACCTGAGCTCAAGGAATTATCTGTTAAGTATTTGATAAACAAGTAGCAGTTAGTGGCATTATCTGTATCAGGGTTGCCATTCCGTGTCCTCTCGTTTGATCCCCACTTGGCCATGTAAAAACAGCCACAATGACAATGTAAGTTTGGTAATCCTTAACCATACCTGGATAGGTTTTAATTGTTTTTTTAAAGATGTATTTGCTTATGTCTCATGTATCTGAGTGCTCTATTTGCATGTATGCCTGCGTGACAGAGGGGACGTCAGACAGAAGAAGGCATCAGTCCAACTATAAATGGTTGTGAGCCATCATATGGTGGCTGGGTATTGAACTCAGGTCCTCTGGAAGAGTAGCTAGTGCTCTTAAGTAAGATGCTAAGCCATCACCGGGCGGTGGTGGCACACGCCTCTAATCCCAGCACTTGGGAGGCAGAGGCAGGTGGATTTCTGAGTTCGAGGCCAGCCTGGTCTACAGAGTGAGTTCCAGGACAGCCAGGACTATACAGAGAAACCTTGTCTCGAAAAACCAAACAAAAAAAAAAAGATGCTAAGCCATCTCTCCAGCTCGTTTTTAATAATTTTATGTGTATGGGTATCTTGCCTCCATGTTCAGCCCGATCCCCATGGAGGCCTCAGATTCCCTGGAACTGGTGTTACAGATGGTTGTGAGCCATCATGGCTGCTGGGAGTGGTCCTCTGGAAGCACAGCCGGTGTGCTCTCAGCCGCTAACCTGTCTCTCCAGCCCCTTAAAAGAAATCTTTAACGACAGCAGTGGCTTTCAGTCACTTCTTTGCCTTTGCTAGAACTAGAATAGGGACATATGGAATGGAGCTGGCCACCTCGGACCTGAGACCCGGCTCACCTCTTCAGCCGTTAGCCCTAGTCACACGTGGCTGGAACCTCCATGAAGCCTGCATGGACTCCTGTCCCTGTAGGGCTGGTTGGATGCAGTAGGTTACTGCCTACATCTGGTGGTGGCTGGTTTTCTGCTCCTGTGGCACATCCTTCTAATCTCCGACTGGCCTCAACAGCATGGGCTTGGTGCCTGCCTGCGCATGCGTCTTCCCATATCCGGATGCCTGTTTTCCAGTTTACCCTTCCATACTCCATCTCTCATACCCCTGTCTGAGTACTCCCTGGCAGCTCTCAACACTGCTTATCTTCCTTGGAGCATGGGCTTTTATTCTCCACCACCCCCCCTTCTTTTTTAAGATTTATTTAAAATATATATATA